CTGTCAATAAGAGTCATATTCTTAAATAACATCTATTTTGACAAAGGATTTCATTTTTCTAGTTTGAACTTTTGGCATACATAAACATATATCTTACATTTCCTTTGTGAGAGAATTACGCACACATCTATCATCTCAAAAAACATTCTACTCTATTTGATCTGTTTTATGTATATATGTTGCACTGTTGGAGGAGCCTGTGACCTACGTTTTTCATTGACATATCTACACTGTAGCTAATGGGCAGATTACAATAAAGCCCTTGAACTTGAATAATTATCAAAACTGCATTGGTCTCACATGAAACAGTCCTAAAAAATCACAACTGCCTTAAAGAAACCCAATTGCTTACAAAGTATTCATATCACAGAAACCAAATTCCATACCAAATTACTTAATATTATACCAGTTTGTAAAGTTTGCACACTTCAGATCAGAATCAGAAACAGGTTTATTGTCCAGATTTATTGCACATCAGTCTAGAATTTGACTTGATGTCATGGTGCATACATAAACATAAAAAACCAAGAAATCTAATATAAAACAAGGATCTTTTACACCGTAATAAAATATAGTTAAATAGCCAATAAAAAAAATAAATAAACAGTCATTTACAGGGAAAATAGAATGCTATGAATGAATTTGGTGTTGAAGGCGGAGCTTGAAGTCCACAAAACAGGATCCTGGCGTAGGTTCACTGCTGTGTCCAGAGTGCTGGAGGAGGAACGTGGAAGGCCATGTGACAGCGTCGTCCACAGACCTGTTGGCTCTGTAGTGCGAAACTGCAGGGGGTCAGAAGTGGTCTGTGATGGATTTCAGGTGGACAGGACAAGGCCTCCAAGGACTTCATAAACCACAGGGTCAGGGCGACCGGTCGTACTGTAGTCATTTAGTCCTGTGATCCTTGTTTTCTGGGAATCGGGATGAGGTGAGGTTTTGAAGCATGCATGGGACGTGGCATGGTCTCCAGTGAGGTGTTAAAGATGTCAGTAAACACAGGAGACAGCTGCTACTCAGGGTGGAGGGGGAGACCAATGTCAGGCAGCCGCTTGTCTGGTATTTGAGTGTTCGAATAGTCTGTTTACATATCCCCTTTCATCGATGAGAGAGGTCTGATGTGTGGGGAGGTCACGGTGTGGGGAGGTGAGATACTGAACGGAGGGGGATGTGGAGGTGTGAGTGACTGAAGCTGTTACGAGGTGTTATTGGGGATGGTGTCAGAGACTGGAACTCTTTCTCACTCAAATCTGCAGTTAGAACTCATTCAGGATCGTTTGCAAGCGTCGGTCGTTCATGGAGGGGGAGGCTTTCGGCTTGTAGTTGTGATCATGTCTTAGACCAGCGCCATACGAAGCAGAGCCGTTTGCTGAGAAGCAAAAGTGTATTTAAAGTAATCTAGTAAAACAATCAAAAGCAAGTAAAAGCATTAATGTTTAACAACGCCCTCAAATTGGAGCTGACTCCTGAACCTACCCTTAATGTCCCCTAAACATGACACTTAGAACTATTAGGGTCGGCAACAGGCGGACCGCGGTCCTGGATCCCGGACCCCAGACGCTGACCTATACGGACCACGGCCGGACCTATAGGCCCATATTCCCAAACGCCCCCTNTGTGTTCTTTTTAACCAAATATCTCTCAGAGGGGCGTGGGGAGGGGCTCCTTATTTTCATCTAAAGTAACAGACAGAATCAGCACTTTTGAAACAGAGGGGATTATGGGATGCTGCAATGATCTGTTTGGTATTTGGAGCCAAACACTTCAGAGACATGCTTTGTATATATCTGATATATTGATGAAAAACAGTATAATAGGGGACCTTTTAAGTTAAAGCCAAATGTGACCTATAACAACTTTAATAATAACCTTTCTGCACACAGAGTTGAAAAAACACAGCAAGTGTACCAAAACATTGAAGTTGCTGAATGTTTTAAAAAAAAAAATATTATAAAAGAATGTGTATTTAATGGACTGATTACAGCTCTCATAATGTCTCTTTTCTCCCCAGGCTGGCGGAGTGTCCGTCCCCAACGTGGACGACCCTGAGGCCTTCCCCGCTCTGGCCTGAAGGCCCCCCCTCTTCCACCAGCAGCCCATCAACCCCTCCGGGCCCCTCCTCTACGAGGCTTGCATGCTTACCACATCTTCAAATATATAAAAAAAACAGAGAAAAAAAAAGATTTTAAATGACTTAAAAGAGACATCCCATACCACTCGCACCACCAGAGGACTCTAAATTACCTGTTTTAAAGGAGAACAAAAGACAAAAAAAGGCGGAAAAGGACCTCTTGTTACACTGAAGTTTTGTATTTAGGAACATGAAAGCAGGGATGTTTTCATTCTTTATTTTTTTCTTTTCAGAGATGATACATACTTCATTGATATTTTTTTGTGCTGCTTAAATTAATGCATTTTTGCGATTTAGATTGAAGTGTGTGTATCTTCCCCCCCCTTCCCTTCGGAAGCGTTTGTGCTTTTTATGCCCCTCATGACTTCAGCTCAGTATTACGGGGTGATCTTAGAAAAGACTTTGTACTGGAATGTTTTCCTCCCAGTAATACACACTGATGTGGTAGCACTACACTACATAGGAAACGTGTTCTAGATATCTACTACCATACTATTGGAGTATGGCTTAAACTGCATTTAAAGTGTCATCGCTCTGATTCTGAATACCCATCCCCTTTTTTGCAAGGCAAAAATTCTGGATGGGTAACCAGGCAGTGACTTTAAAAGCTTGGTATTTTTCTGCTTGTTGTGAAGTGAAGGTAAATGCCTCTATTCAATTTTTTTGATAGCTTGCCATTATTTGGTGGACCAGTGGTTAGTGATGCTTTGTTCCCCCTGATCCAGATGTACTACCTGTGTTTTCAGGGTGTCCCACGGCCCAATGTGTATATTTTTTTAGGTTGGTCCTCGTAGGTCATACAGACTGCTAATGTTACTTCTGGACCACTAAGCAAATATTGTATTTTTGTTGTTAAGGGGGGGTGTGTGTGTGTGTGTGTGTGGGTGTTGTGTGTGTGTGTGTGTGTGTGTGTGTGTGTGTGTGTGTGTGTGTGTGTGTGTGTGTGTGTGTGTGTGTGTGTAAAAAGAATGAATGAGTGAATTTGACAGCTGGTTACTTAGAATTGAAGTACTCCTCTCACCTGAGGTAGTTCATACTGTCTTTTGAGAAGTGATGGTAAAGATTTAAAGGCCTGAGTCCACATAGCACTTTTTTCTGAGTTCTCCACCTTTTTTTTAACAGTCATTTCAGTTGTATTTTATAATATTTACCGATTATGCTTTTGGTGGTTTTCCCTTTCCTGTAATGTATACCATTGGACTGTAACTTAGTGCCATCATTACGTAACAGTCGTGCTTCTATTGGCTAGTGCTCCGACACTTTGTACGTGATAGGCTAAGGGGCGGGACACCTTTTAGGTGGTTGACCAATCACAACAGAGCCGGCCAGTTAACCAATCAGAGCAGACTGGGGTCTGGTTTCAGACAGAGGGTGAAAAGAGGTGCTGCAGCACAGGCAGGATGAGAAAATAAAGAGCTTAATAGGGCCCCTAACTGAACCAAAAAGTGGATTTGTTGGAGCAGCTTGGCAGGTCGGCCTTAACTGTTGCTGCCAATGGCTGAGTGTTGTACTTTAATATGTACAACATCTACGAGTGCTGTACTTTTTTCTCATTATACAAATCGTCCTTCTCGCTCTACAGCTGAAGCTCATTCGGCCAAAGTGTGAGAGTTAGAATTATCCAGTCGGTTTTAGTTGTGAAAGAAACGATATATTTCCAGGCAAAAGCGCTATGTGGACACGGTGCCCGAGTGAGAAACATAGACTGTGGACATATCTTTGCTCTTAGAGCCTCTCGAATGTCTTTTGAAGCACTTGGTTTTACCGGCACCAGTTCTCTAAAGATTGTTTCCCCTCTTCTGTAAATGTTTTATTTTTATTTATTTTTATTTAACCAGCACCAATGCATCATTTGTCTGAAACAAATGTCATTTTTGGAACAATCTGGAGCTACAGAATGTAATATAGGCTAACGGAGCTTTAGCCCCCTGTGTCAGCATATCCACCGAGTGTTTATATCTGAGTGAAGCGGGTGTATTTAACATTGGGTGGGGGTTATTAAAAAGGAGAGAAAGCTTTACATGCTGTGCTCTGCAAACACTTGCTGGCGATGCACTGATACAGACGGCTGGAGCCTTTCTTTCTGTTTGAGCCACATGACAGTGAAACTTTCTCTGCAAACATCCCTGTTCTAATAAATCGCTTTAGAGGTGTTACATGTATTCTGCCAATGGCTGTTTGGGTTGTTTAAAATCATTACTGTGATTTTAAAGGTGTAAAAAAAACGTGCTTTGGACTCTCGTCATTGCTTGAAGCGGCAACCATCGTAGTGTTATTTAAGCTTCTAGTTATTTTCGGTACAACTAACTAAAACTGAGGCATTTTACTAATACATCATCCTTCGTTCCATGGCTTTAATGTTGATGTATCTTTTAATTTGTACCAAGAAGATGCTTATAATGTTAATGTATAAAAATGGATTGGTTAAATTCACCAGCACCACACACTATTGCCTCCAGAATGACCATAACGTTTAGTCGTGTTACCTGTAAATGTAACCATTCTTTGCGTACAGTTACATAAAATGATGTTTTGTCAATAATAGTGAGATTTTTAAACCAAAGTCGCCGCTTTGAAACAGGCACCGGTGATAATGTGCAACATAAAAATTGAGGCTGTCCCGAGTAAGAACATTTTAAACAACAAACTCAATAAAAGTACTCCATTAACTGTTTTTTATATGTAAAGTGCAATTTTTAAAAGCAGGAATTACATGTATTTCGAGAAATTACTCTCCAAAAGTAACTTCAGGCGTGTTTTAAAGTAGTTAAACTAAAACAGTGTTAAATACTCCAATGTTTTATTTTACTTTAGTTGAACAATATTTTTTTAACAATGACTTTTGGACAGTCTTAAGGAAATGTGGTAAAATATGGATGAAATAGTTAAAAAATAAAAATAAGTTTGTTGAATAGAATTATGAATTCAATTTTTTTTTTAAATAGCAAACGAGAGCCCAGACAACTTGATATTAGACATTTTGCATGAATTAGTAATTTTGTTTAATTTATTTATTACAGGTTTTTCATGTAATAGTGTTACAAGATATGTTTGTTTAAATATATTGATAATTGCAATGACTGTAACATTTGGCTAAAATGTATTGTTGGAGAAATTAGGACGGCAGAATTTTAATAAGAAATCGTGTTCTTTAGGTAAAATGTCCTCACCAAAATATGATAATATGTACGTACTGAAAAAACAATGTTCTATCTAGCGTTTTAACTATAGACTGTAAATAAAAGTATAAAGTCTGTGTTTTTTTTATCCCCCTGAATGTTCAAAGTATGACGTTGAGTCAAGATGATTCCCTCTCCGTTTCCGTCTTCACCGATATCGTCTTTCAGATAGTTGTACGCATGCGCAGTAGAACTCGTGGGCTTCCGTTAGAAACGTCCACAGTGTTCATTACATAAACAATGGCTGAGCCGCACAGACGACGACATGAGCTCGGAGACAGAAAGCCGTCACCTGCACGACCATCCTCCACAACAAACACAGCCACTTCCGGTGACAGCTACTCGGTGTATCTGAGGCTGCTAGCTGCGGGGTTTTACGGAGTCAGCTCATTCATCATAGTTATTGTCAACAAAAGCGTCCTCACCAGCTACAGGTAAAGGGGCAAAGTTCAAGTTACCCTAGCGGAAGCTGCGTATCGGACACTTTATGAGCAGTGACAGCAGGGGAGATTCTGGACTCAGGAAAAAGTCTTCCTTACACATCTGTCTTATAACATTAATGTTACAAGACCTGCAGTGGAACGCCAAGTACAATATTTAGAATAGAAGTATTCATTGGAACATACATTCATTCAATGTTAAGGAAGGCTAAACATCAAAACTGTTTTTTAAGTTTGTAATATGTAGGCCTACTAAGTTACTGTATACCTACATAAATACTGAAGCAACATGTCCCCCGACCCCCCTTCACTTCAAACTATGTACATTCTTCAGAGAAAAATCTTCAGAATGTCAACTATATCATCTTCAGATATCTCTAAACATTATAGGAAAAATGTGTTAAACATATTATTTGTGTGGTATGCAATTTACAATGTAAACATACTCTATTAATGTGATACTCCTGCATTGGAAATGTTATGAAGCAAAGTATGTACATTTGTTCTTATCCTAAAGAAAAAAGTTGAATTCATAAGCAGTCGCTTTCCCTGTCCACTCACTCACCGGGTCTTGGTCTGCTTTTACCACTGAGGCATAGTCAGACTCAGTTCAATGACTTTATGACTATTATGTACGAATGTTGTTACTGGTAAACTAGGTTTTGCCATTTACTGTTTTCTCTAATATTAAATAGTTGTCTGTTAATTGCTAAAAGTTACATAAAAAGTTGCTAAATTAAATGTAAGTAAAGGTGTTCATGCAGCAGAATGAATCTTTCATTGTACTGAACAACAATGTGCATTAATGTGTTGGCATGTTGTATGTGGCCAAAGTGCAGTTTATTCATCACTTTACCCTATGAAACAAATATTTGTATTGCATAACAGGTCGGTCACGCCTTTTTGAAGTGAACACCAAATCGCTTTTATGTTAAGTATTCAAATACAAGTACCTCTATTAACATGGTATTTTAGTACAGTTTATCTAATTCACTTTCAATCACTGTTACTACTTTATTTTCAAATGCAACAAAGCAATTCTAGTATAGAATGCAAAACGCCAAATCTAAAAGTCTTTCATTTCTTTTTTGTGCCTAAAACAGTTGCATTATTAACTTTTTTTCCTAAATCATACCATTTTGTACGTGTTTTGTACGTGTTCGACAGATTTCCATCGTCAACATGTGTCGGACTCGGCCAGGTAAGTGTGTCTTTATTCTGGTCACAGACACTTCCTGTCCTCCTGAACAGACCCTGACTGTGTGGGTGCTTCCATATATCTACAGATGTTGGCTACAGTCGTAGTTCTGAGGATCGGGAAGGCGTTTGGCATTATCTCCTTTCCAGATACGGATCTGAGTATACCTCGCAAGGTGAGACAGTGAATTAATTCTATGTGATACACAAGAATACGATCTTCTGCTTTCAACATTTCTTTTGTCCTTCCAGATGTTTCCACTGCCTCTACTGTATGTCGGGAATCAGATATCAGGGCTGTTTGGGACACAACGACTCAAGTTAGAGCTTTTATTTAAAATATGAATGATATGAAACATCTTTTCCTTAATAGAAAATCGCAAATTAAACCACATTTTCCCCTTTTCCTAGTCTACCCATGTTTACAGTTTTGAGGAGGTTCAGTATTTTCCTTACCATGGTGTTTGAGGGACTCCTGCTGAAGTAAGTTTCCTCATTCATATTTTACAAGATTGTTCTTTCACCCGCCAATAAATAATTTAAAAATAAATGGTTTCCTCTCCTGGCAGGAAAACGTTCTCTTCGTCAATCAAGATTACAGTGTTTACCATGATATTCGGGGCTTTTATTGCTGCAAGGTAAGATATCCACAATATACGGTGGCCAAAAGGTGTCTACACGCAACAACGGCCCAAAACACGTCCATTAGGAGAAACGCGCTACACTTTCAGAAACGATGCGTTGTGTTTTCAGCTTCATGCTGAGTTTTTTTACTTGCAGCGTTTTGTTTATGCAACGCTTTTAGTAAATGCTGCGCATGTTTTGCAATTTGGTGAGGATGTTTCTTCATTTGCATGTGTTTGGCATGTTTTTATATTTACATTGTTTTTTAATGTGCAGCCTGTTCCTCCTAATGTGTGTTTTCAGGCCGTTGTAACGCGTTTTCACAAGTTGGCCACCATAGATACCAGTACACAAAACACTGGTATTATCCGATTCACAGTGTCTTATTCTCACATGTTTTTGTAGCGCCGATTTAGCTTTCGACCTTGAAGGATACATGTGCATAATGCTGAACAATGCTCTGACAGCGGCCGGTGGGGTGTATACGAAGCAGAAACTTGATTCCAAGGTGAGGAGCTCCTAGTGTTGTACGCCCCCTCACGGTGTGCAATGTTTGTTTGCTGCATTGTTTGTGAAGGATTGTTCTGCTGTTCCCATAGGAGCTCGGCAAATATGGGCTTCTGTACTACAACGCTTTAATCATGATATTCCCCACTGCGGCATACGCTTACTTCTCAGGGGACCTGCAAGTGGTAAGGATTGCTTTTTGTATCGCAAATAAATTCATGTTTATATATTTTTAGTTTAGTTTGGGACAACTAAAGCGGATGTCTTCTCTGTGTGTTTGTGTGCAGGGCTTGGAGTTTGATGGATGGTCTGATCAGCTGTTTGTGATGCAGTTTGTGCTCTCCTGTGTCATGGGGTAAACATTTGTTTATTCATTAGGCTTGTCAAATAACTACTTTTGTCGGACGATATATTGTCGAATAACGAATAATTGACATAACAATGTTGTTTTTATTTTAAGACCATTTTATTCTACGGATAATATGGTATAGTAGCATAATAATTAAAGTACCGCCTTTCAAAGGGCAAATCACTTGATAAGAACATACTCTGCCAGTGGAATTTGAATGGGGAAAAAATATTAGAATTTCTTTAATTAAAAATATATAAATAAAAATAAATCCACAAAAACAAAACAATAATAAAATTGACTCTTCACTTTGACTTTTTATAACTGTTTGTGACATCCAATAGTATGAGTTTTTGTAACTGTTTAACTTGTTTTTAAATAATTTACTCTTACTTTTTTATGACGTCCTTTGGATTGACCTTTTACGACATATTTACTATGACCTTTTATGCCTTTTTGTATTACACTCTATGCTATGAAGTACTATAGATTGCATTTTTAATGACTTACAAAAAACAGAAAAGTAATAGTATTCCATTTCAAGAATATTCATTAAAACTATATACAGGACTGTCTCAGAAAATTAGAATATTGTGATAAAGTTCTTTATTTTCTGTAATGCAATTAAAAAAACAAAAATGTCATACATTCTGGATTCATTACAAATCAACTGAAATATTGCAAGCCTTTTATTATTTTAATATTGCTGATTATGGCATACAGCTTAAGAAAACTCAAATATCCTATCTCTAAATATTAGAATATCATGAAAAAGTATACTAGTAGGGTGTTCAACGAATCACTTGAATCGTCTAATTAACTCGAAACACCTGCAAGGGTTTCCTGAGCCTTGAAAAACACTCAGCTTGGTTCAGTAAACTAAATCACAAGTATGGGGAAGACTGCTGATCTGACTGCTGTCCAGAGGACCGTCATTGACACCCTCCATCAGGAGGGTAAGACACAAAAAGAAATTTCTCAAAGAGCAAGCTGTTCACAGAGTGCAGTTTCAAAGCACATCCACAAAAAGTCTGTTGGAAGGGGGAAATGTGGCAGGAAACGCTGCACAACCAAGAGAGATGACCGCAGCCTTAACAGCATTGTGAAGAAGAGTCGCTTCCAGAATTTGGGGGAGCTTCAAAGACAGTGGACTGAAGCTGGAGTCCAGGTATCAAAAGTCACTGTTCACAGACGTGTCCGGGAAATGGGCTACAATAGCCGTATTCCCATGGTCAAGCCACTTCTGAACTCAAGACAACGGAAGAGGCGTCTGACTTGGGCTAAGGAAAAGAAGCACTGGACAGTTGCACAGTGGTCCAAAGTCCTCTTTTCAGACGAAAGCAAGTTTTGTATTTCATTTGGAAGTCAAGGCGACCAGAGTCTGGAGAAAGGCTGGAGAGGAGCAAAATCCAAGTTGCTTGAAATCCAGTGTGAAGTTCCCACAGTCAGCGATGGTTTGGGGAGCCATTGTCAGCTGCTGGTGTTGGTCCACTGTGTTTCATCAAGCCCAGAGTAAATGCAGCTGTGTACCAAGAGATTTTAGAGCACTACATGCTTCCGTCTGCTGAAAAGCTCTATGGAGATGAGGAATTCATTTTACAGCATGATCTGGCACCTGCCCACAGTGCCAAAACCACCAGTAACTGGTGTACTGACCATGGCATTACTGTCCTCGATTGGCCTGCAAATTCCCCTGACCTGAACCCCATAGAGAATATGTGGGGTATTGTGAAGAAGAAGCTGAAAGACACCAGACCCAACAATGCTAATGAGCTAAAGGCCGCTATTGAAGCATCCTGGGCATCCATAACACCTCAGCAATGCCACAGGCTGATTGCCTCCATGCCACGCCGCATTGATGCAGTAATCCGTGCAAAAGGATTCCCAACCAAGTACTGAGTGCATTAATGGACATTTTCAAATGTTTGATTGTGTTTTGCTGTTATAAATCTTTTTTTTTTACTTGGTCTGAGGAACTATTCTAATTTTTTGAGATAGGATTTTTGAGTTTTCTTAAGCTGTATGCCATAATCAGCAATATTAAAATAATAAAAGGCTTGCAATATTTCAGTTGATTTGTAATGAATCCAGAATGTATGACATTTTTGTTTTTTTAATTGCATTACAGAAAATAAAGAACTTTATCACAATATTCTAATTTTCTGAGACAGTCCTGTATAGTATAGAGTGGTGCAGTGACAAGTCCTAAAACCCGGAAGTGAGTTAGCATTTTACCACTACGGGTTCCCTCGTCTCAGTCAATGGGATTTCTTCATAGGATCTTGGAAAATTGCTGAAAATAAGGTCTGTGGTTGACACAAATTTAAGAGACGGATCACGTTTTGTTCTACGACATTAAATACATCAGCAGTGACCCCACTGGTGATTTTTGAAGAGTGTACGTATCAAACAGGTTCGTTTTCCACAGACCTTATTTCGAGCTATTTTCCAAAATCCTATGGAGAAATCCCATTGCATTTTTGTCGAGATAACCAGCAGCTTACTTCTGGGTAAATACGTCCTCCCTGCACCACGCTATAATATGTTGAAAATCAGAAAAAAGACAACTTAGTTTTCAGATAAATGTGCATTACTTGAAAGGTACTTTGCTTAAAGTAATTCAGAGCAAGCTAGAGTTCGGTGAATCAGTACTATATGTTACCTTATATCATTTAAAGAGAAACACAAGTCCTATGTTTAAAAAATATTAGAAAAACAACATAGTATACTTTATTGAAAATATTAGAAAAAAAGTAATATTATGGTATTCCGAAAAATATCAGGAAATAACAGCGTTGTATAGAAAAAAATAAATGAATTGTCTTTACTTTTTTGTGTCCTATTATGTTTTGGCTTACTATACTATGGCTTGTAACAACTTTTTTTATGACAAACTTAATATAACTGTTTTACGACATACTATACCAAGTCACGATTTATATAATAACATACAATTACTTTTTAATGACTTTTTTTCATCAGATATTAGACTATTAGTATTCTGATGACATTTGTATTTCACACCACTGAATACTATGTTTCCCCAGTGCTGTAGGAAGGGCATTACAATAACCATACCCAAGTTTGGGCCTTTTACCCACCGGTTATTAAAAAGAATCCTGGTCAATATTCCTTACTTTTCGTCATGTCAATATATCACTCAATAAGTTTCTAACATAATTGTTGTAGCCTTTAATATAGTATATCCCACAATGCAGCTCTTGTCTAACTCTTCTATGTGTCTCACAGCTTCATTTTAATGTACTCCATCATGCTGTGCACGCAGTACAACTCAGCACTCACCACCTCCATCGTGGGCTGTATTAAGGTAGGTCTTTCACCTGCCCCCCACCCTCCCTCCATACCCAGAAATACAGATGTGTGTAACGACTCTCTCTCTGACTCCTGCAGAATATCCTTGTGACGTACCTTGGGATGGTGTTCGGAGGAGACTACATATTCAGCTGGACTAACTTCCTAGGTTTGAACATCAGGTACGACACCCAGGACTGAAACAGTGCTGTCATGGCGCTGGCTGCTGTTTCTGTCTGACGTGTGTTTCTCTTTGTTTCCCCAGCATCGCAGGCAGTCTGGTGTACTCCTACATGACTTTCACACAGGATCAAACAAGTAAGAGGTTTTAAATATGTAAATAAACACCTGTGAAAAAGATGCAGCTTAATCAAATATGTTGTTGCATCAAACTTTACAGAAAAGGCGTAATCCCCCGAGTCTCGACCCGACCAGAAGAACCACGTCCAGAAGACAGAATATATATTTTCTGTTTTGTAACCATCCTGGTTTTTTTTATAAAGTATTCTGTTAGCATACATTTTTGCTGCACAAATATTTTAAATAATGTTATCTAATTGTACTTTATTTTTTAAGTAAGACCAAGTGCCTTCAATTGTTTTTATAATTATATTTTGTGATTTATGAGCATTTTTATATTTGACAAATAAAACTAAAGAATATATTTGAGGTTTTTTTAATGCTATTCCATTTCAATACTCACTTTTGAGTTATTGGCCACCCTTGTCATTTTCTTTTCTTTATACTGGCTTTAATTTGGCCTTTCTGAACATCAGATTACATTCCTAGTTTGAAATGAGGGGGTGCTCGATGGTGTTATTTTCCAATCCTACTTTTGTTGCTGGGACAAAAGACTGTGAATGAAAACATACAGACAGCTTCTTAACGCTTTAATGACAATTTTTGACATATAACTACTTTTCAATATATTTTGAAATATTATACTAAGATTTTATTTCCATATTTTTGACTATGACTTTAAAAAATATATTTTTAGAAATACTTTACGATTACATTTTTGACATTCTTTTCAATTACTTTTTGACTACTATATTATGATTATGATGAGTTTTTATGACCTACTACATACTCTGACTTTCCTATGACCTCATGACACATGTTCTGTCTAAGCTGCTCTGCTGTTCTGTATGACATATTCTGCAGGGGACCTGGAAGTGCTCCCTTCATCCTTTCTTGATTACTTGGCACCTGTTGCCCAGCTGTCAGGCTCCGCCCACTTCCTCTGTCTCTCCCAGGCAGCTTTGTAATCAGCCATCACTTAATACGTAATATAACGCTACATAACGTAATGTAGCGTAACTTAACGCGAAATGGCTTTTTTTGTTACCATATTACATAATTCTGTTCTGTTATTTACGTTATACATTACATTGCATTTAGCTGGCGATTTTATCCAAAGCGACTTACAATAAGTGCATTCGACCAAGAAGATACAAACTTGAAGAAAACAGAATCATATAAGTACATCAGGTTTCATAGAGCTAAAACCTTTCAAGTGCTACTCAAACTGGTTTTAGATAAGCCAGTCCTTTGTTAGTATATAAGTGCTTAGTTAGTATGTAAGTGCTTAGTTAGTATATAAGTGCTTTGTTAGTAAATTTATTGCTCGAAGTGGAGTCGAAAGAGATTAGTTTTCAGTCTGCGCCGGAAGATGTGTAAGCTTTCTGCTGTCCTGATTCTCATTCCACCATTTTGGAGCCAGGATAGCAAACCCAAGTGTTTTTGCTGATGGGAACTTGGGTCCCCCTCGCAGTGCGGGTGCAGCGAGCCGTTTGGCTGATGCAGAGTGGAGTACACGTGCTGGGGTGTACAGTTTAACCATCTCCTGGATGTAGGAAGGGCCAGATCAATTCACAGCATGGTACGCAAGTACCATTGTCTTGAAGTGGAGTCTAGCAGTTACTGGAAGCCAGTGAAGGGAGCGGAGGAGCGGCGTGGTGTGGGAACATTTAGGAAGGTTGAAGACCAGACGAGCCGCTGCATTCTGGATGAGCTGCAGAGGTCGGATGGCACATGCAGGTAGACCAGCCAGGAGGGAGTTGCAGTAGTCTAGGCGTGAGATGACGAGAGCCTGGCCCAGAAGCTGCGTCGCTTTCTGGGTGAGCTGGGGACGTATCCTCCTGATGTTGTAAAGCGTGTATCTGCAGCAGCGGGTTGTAGCAGGATGTTTGCAGTGAAGGACAGTTTGTTATCTAGGATCACACCCAGATTCCTTGCAGTCTGAGTCGGGGAAACAACAGAGGGGCCGATGTTGATTGTTAGGTCAAGAGTGAGACTGTTTGGAATACTTATTTTCCACCATAATTTGCAAATAAAGTCTTTAAAAATCAGACAATGTGATTTTCTGGATTTCTTTTTCTCATTTTGTCTCTCATAGTTGAGGTATACCTAGGATGAAAATTACAGGCCTCTCTCATCTTTTTAAGTGGGAGAACTTGCACAATTGGTGGCTGACTAAATACTTTTTTGCCCAACTGTATGTGTAGCTATTAGTTTTTATTTCAGGAATAAAGTTGAACTTTCAGTAGATTTGATGACAGTGCTTTCATTTTTTATTTTATAAAAGTTAAATTGAATTACACAAATAAATATTCTTCACATTCTTTTTTCCTTGTGTTGTATTCTTGAACTGCAAAACAAATCTTCCTCTTGTTTTGATACTTTGATGGTACAATTCAACTGTGATGTTAGAAAAGGATTTGCATTTGTTTTGCTTGAAAACTCACAGTACAACTCAGACTCATTAATACATTTATTAAATATAGTCGATGTTATTCCATTCATAGCCACTCTTCATATGAATACACTTCATTTTTAATAATGTCGTAATTTACAGAGAAAAAAACCCATCATTGTCAACAAAGGGAAAGAAAAGACTACATGGATCAACATTGTTGGAGACAAACGTATCTTAATTTGTGAATGTAAGCTGGAGAAAAAGTAAAACAGAAGCATCAAACTGAACAGCTACTGTACCAAAACAAGCTCAGGTCAACCGGTGTTTCTCTGCTCTGAAGCCTCTTACTGAGGAAATATTGTCGCAAAATAAGCACTTGAGTAAGTAGCGTAATCAACCTCAATGTGGGGCTTTTTTATGCACACAAACACAAATTCAAATCACACAGGAATGGGAAGTGCTGCCAAACAGAGAGGGAAAGAGGAATGGCTCCTGTTTTTTATTACATCCATCTCAGAGCGAAAGACTTCTCTTCATGGGAGACCAGAACAAAGGAGATGAACAGACGGTTATAAAAAATGTACGAACTGCTCAAGGTAAGAAATCTATACAAACTTTACATAAAAAATCACTGACATTCTGTCTAGTAAAAACAAAGCGAAGCACTGACTATGAAAATCCAAAAATACAGCGATCTTCTAACAGGATGACTTATAATACCGGACATCACTGATGTCAGCTGCTTTACACAAACAAACCCCCCCATCGGCTTATTTATCAGTCAAACCGCGACAGAGGCTTCAGAAGAGGAGTGAAAATGTAATTCTGCTGGGTTTCAACGCCGCTCTTTGTTGATGAAGACGAGGAACATACAATCAAAGTGCAACTAAAGAGACCGCTCTCGGCCTTACTTACTCCTCTCCTTTTTCCTACTTTGCCTCTTTTTGGACAACTTAAGAACAGAACTGTTTAAAAAGGTGTGCTCCGTCTCATCAAATAGCTCAAACGGTGTTTATCTATCATAGTTTTCTTTTGTTAAAAAATAGAAATATCTCTTGTGTAAAAAAATATCACAGGTGATTTATTTTTCGTTGAGTAAAAATAGGGAAAAAAAGGAAATTCTTGGCAAATCTTTGTCTCCAAAAAAGTGACGATGGGTGGGAGATGGTATTTTCTAGGACATGGTGGATTTGTGGTGCTTTGGGATGAGCTCTGCAGGCGGTCAGTACATGGAGGGTGGGGGGGCGGAGGACCAACTGCAGTTTGGTTGGCTGTGTTGTGAGTCTTTTCTCTAAGCCGGCCTCCACCTCACATTTCAGCGTCTGTAAGTCTACGTCACAGCGCTCCTTCAGTTCTCCTGTGTTCTGGAAGGCTCCACCTCACTCTGGCCCAGCACCTCCGCCTCCGTTCTGCACCTCTTGGCCGGCCGTTCCTGCGCTGCTGCCGGGTCTCGGTGGTCCAGCGGGGGCTCCAGGGAGCCGTTTTGGTCGTGGCTGGGCGCGCTGGGTTGGCTGCAGCCGTTGGAGTTGCTGTCTGAAATGGGGGGAGGAGGGGGAGGGGGAGCCTCCGCTGCCGGGTGTGAGGGGCCGTTGGACTGAATGGGCTCCGGTTTGACTTGATTCACCGGGAGGAGCGGAGCGCCGTCTACAGGGTGGACAGGATTGTGGCTGCCGATACCTGACGAAGACAAATGAAAGGTGAGTGACTTGAGATGATTCAATTGTTTGATTTGTCAATGATTGAAGAACAACAAATACAATTCAAATTGTTTCCACTGTCAAAAACCCAACAGTATTTTTTAAACCTGAAAAATGTGTGATCACAGTATTATCCCGATAATGATCTAAATATGCTTAAAAGACAAGGCAAACATTTGTATTTCATCACAGTTAATGGTAAGGGAATCATCTACCAAAAGATCCCCATTCATTAATAAAAGAAAAAGCACATTCATTTCTAAAAAGCAAAGCGACAATGAGTTAAAGCCTGAGGGGAGGATCGTGAGAAGAGAGAGTACATTAGGAGCAGGGGAAATAAACATGAAATGAAATGGAATAATAATAATAATAAAAATAATAATAATAATTAAAGTATATCATGCATAAAAAATGTTGTGTGTGCTCTTCTATCAGCACGGTGTGTTGGTCAGCTCACCGTTCTGGCTGCTGCTGTCCTCCCTCTCCGAGTGGCTGGCGCTGCTGCTGGAGGTGGTGGGGGGGGGTGACGCCGCTCTGCTGGACGTGGCGCTCTCCGTCTCGTCCAGTAATCTGTCCATGTAGTCTCTGAGGACACACAGCGGCACACACAACGTCAACTCCAGATGTGGTTTCAAACACAGGCAGGCTGTGCTGGTCTGTCAGTGATTGCAGGTTATTCATCTTTAACTGGAATTGGGTAAAACATTCGGAGTGCGCCCCCTAGTGTCCACCTACATTTCGATGCTGTAGCTCAGCTGAGGCCGGCATTCGTATTAATATCTGCATCTCATCTATGAGTAGGATCAGAACAAAGTCTGTGGATTACCTCGAGTAACCGGGTGAGGATTTGTTTATTTTTAAAGAAGTTATGTGGGTCAGAGAGGGCCTTTGTTTAAGATACATGGTTGAAATGGTGAGCGAGGAGAGGACATTGCATATGGGCTCTACATTTTGGCTAATACAAGCTTTTTATAAACGCCAAGGATCTTCAAAAAGTATTTGTGCTTTTTGTCCCAGTCCTCACTATTCTATGTTTAATACAAGTCACAAAAAAAATTGAAAACATTTGAAGATCATACGGGAGAGAAGGCAGGCATCTTTACGGCTGATATCTCCTACACTCTGCAACTCACACCCAGAATACAGGGGGGGGGATGCCTTTTTTGTCCCCATTTTCGTTGTCATTTTGTGTCTCTTTCGTATCCCTTTTTAT